TCTGTGCTAGATCTGTGATACAGTGTATCTGAACAGGGTTCTGTGCTAAAGCTTAGATACACTTTTTGTTATATTCGAGGATTGTTTATGATAGCTGAGGATAAGCTTTTAGAAAGTTGTTTGTGATATTTGAGGATAAGCTAGGTACACTTTGATAACCCGAGTACTCCTGTTAAAACTAATCACTGTCTGGCGATACCACACAGGTCGTGACATCTGTATACCAGAGAAACCACTACTTATAAACAACCAGGAGGTATAAAACAGCACCATCACCAACCAGAGACAAACGTATCGGCATACCGTAGACAGCGACTTAAACATATTCTGTTCCTAGCATCTATGATGTTGGTGTTTATCTCTACTTTAACATTTCTGTCCCCATCATCTCTGATGTTAGTGTTTATCTCGATTTTAACATTTCTGTCCTCGACTTTAACATTTCTGTTCCTAGCATCTCTGATGTTAGTGTTTACTTCGATTTTAATATTTCTGTCCCTAGCACCTTTGATGTTAGTGTTTACTTCGATTTTAACATTTATGTGCCTAGCACCTTTGATGTTAGTGTTTACTTCGATTTTAACATTTCTGTCCCTAGCACCTTTGATGTAAGTGTTTACTTCGATTTTAACATTTATGTGCCTAGCACCTTTGATGTTAGTGTTTACTTCGATTTTAACATTTATGTGCCTAGCACCTTTGATGTTAGTGTTTATTTCGACTTTAACATTGTTTATCTCTACTTTAACATTTCTGTCCCCATCATCTCTGATGTTAGTTTTTATCTCGACTTAAACATTTTCTGTCCCCAGCATCTCTGATTTTAGTGTTTATCTCGACTTAAACATATTCTGTCCCCAGCATCTCTGATAAAAGTGTTTATCTCGATTAACATTTCTGTCCCCAGCATCTCCTCATGTTAGTGTATATTTCGACTTAGACATTTCTGTCCCCAGCATCTCTGATTTTAGTGTTTATCTCGACTTAAACATTTCTGTCCCAGCATCTCTGATGTTAGTTTTTATGTCGATTTTAACATTTCTGTCCCGAGTATCTCTGATGTTAGTTTACCAGTGAGTAGTCAACCTAACACCTCGACTTTAACATTTTTGTCCCCAGCATCTCTGATATCAGTGTTTATCTCTACTTTAACATTTTTGTCCCCAGCATCTATGATGTCAGTGTTTATCTCGACTTCAACATTTCTGTCCCCAGCATCTTTGATATCAGTGTTTATCTCGACTTTAACAGTTTTGTCCCCAGCATCTCTGATATCAGTGTTTATCTCTACTTTAACATTTTTGTCCCCAGCATCTATGATGTCAGTGTTTATCTCGACTTCAACATTTCTGTCCCTAGCATCTCTGATGTTAGTGTTTACTTCGATTTTAATATTTCTGTCCCTAGCACCTTTGATGTAAGTGTTTACTTCGATTTTAACATTTCTGTCCCTAGCACCTTTGATGTTAGTGTTTACTTCGATTTTAACATTTCTGTCCCCAGCATCTCCGATATCAGTGTTTATCTCGACTTTAACATTTATGTCATCTCTGATAAAAGTGTGTATATCTCGACCTCAACATTTCTGTCCTCGTCATCGCTGATGGCAGCGTTTATCTCGACTTTAACATTTCTGTACCCAGCATCTCTGATGAAAGTGTTTATCTCGATTAACATTTCTGTCCCCAGCATCTCCTCATGTTAGTGTTTATCTCGACTTATACATTTCTGTCCCCAGCATCTCTGATTTTAGTGTTTATCTCGACTTAAACATTTCTGTCCCAGCATCTCTGATGTTAGTTTTTATGTCGATTTTAACATTTCTGTCCCGAGTATCTCTGATGTTAGTTTACCAGTGAGTAGTCAACCTAACACCTCGACTTTAACATTTTTGTCCCCAGCATCTATGATGTCAGTGTTTATCTCGACTTCAACATTTCTGTCCCCAGCATCTTTGATATCAGTGTTTATCTCGACTTTAACAGTTTTGTCCCCAGCATCTCTGATATCAGTGTTTATCTCGACTTGAACATTTCTGTCCCCAGCATCTCTGATGAAAGGGTTTATCTCGATTAACATTTCTGTCCCCAGCATCTCCGATATCAGTGTTTATCTCGACTTTAAGATTTATGTCCCTAGCATCTCTGATGTCAGTGTTTATCTCGACTTCAACATTTCTGTCCCTAGCATCTCTGATATTAGTGTTTACTTCGATTTTAACATTTATGTGCCTAGCACCTTTGATGTTAGTGTTTACTTCGATTTTAACATTTATGTGCCTAGCACCTTTGATGTTAGTGTTTATTTCGACTTTAACATTTCTGTCCCCAGAATCTCTGATGAAAGTGTTTATCTCGATTAACATTTCTGTCCCCAGCATCTCTTATGTAAGTGTTTATCTCGACTTTAACATTTATGTCCCTAGCATCTCTGATATCAGTGTTTATCTCGATTTTAACATTTCTGTCCCCAGCATCTCTTATATCAGTGTTTATCTCGACTTTAACATTTATGTCATCTCTGATAAAAGTGTGTATATCTCGACCTCAACATTTCTGTCCTCGTCATCGCTGATGTCAGTGTTTATCTCGACTTTAACATTGCTGTCCCCAGCATCTCTGATATCAGTGTTTATCTCTACTTTAACATTTTTGTCCCCAGCATCTATGATGTCAGTGTTTATCTCGACTTCAACATTTCTGTCCCCAGCATCTCGGATATCAGTGTTTATCTCGACTTTAACAGTTTTGTCCCCAGCATCTCTGATATCAGTGTTTATCTCGATTTTAACATTTCTGTCCTCGACTTTAACATTTCTGTTCCTAGCATCTCTGATGTTAGTGTTTACTTCGATTTTAACATTTATGTGCCTAGCACCTTTGATGTTAGTGTTTACTTCGATTTTAACATTTCTGTCCCCAGCATCTCCGATATCAGTGTTTATCTCGACTTTAAGATTTATGTCCCTAGCATCTCTGATGTCAGTGTTTATCTTGACTTCAACATTTCTGTCCCCAGCATCTTTGATATCAGTGTTTATCTCGACTTTAAGATTTATGTCCCTAGCATCTCTGATGTCAGTGTTTATCTTGACTTCAACATTTCTGTCCCCAGCATCTCGGATATCAGTGTTTATCTCGACTTTAAGATTTATGTCCCTAGCATCTCTGATGTCAGTGTTTATCTCGACTTCAACATTTCTGTCCCCAGCATCTTTGATATCAGTGTTTATCTCGACTTTAAGATTTATGTCCCTAGCATCTCTGATGTCAGTGTTTATCTCGACTTTAACATTTCTGTCCCCAGCATCTCTGATGAAAGTGTTTATCTCGATTAACATTTCTGTCCCCAGCATCTCTGATGTTAGTGTTTATGTCGATTTTAGCATTTGTGTTCCCGTCATCTCTGATGTCAGTGTTTATCTCGACTTCAACATTTCTGTCCCCAGCATCTCTGATATCAGTGTTTATCTCGACTTTAACATTTATGTCCCTAGCATCTCTGATGTCAGTGTTTATCTTGACTTCAACATTTCTGTCCCCAGCATCTCTGATGTTAGTGTTTATCTCGATTTTAACATTTCTGTCCCCAGCATCTCTGATATCAGGTTTTTTTTCGACTTTAACATTTCTGTCCACAGCATCTCTGATGTTAGTGCTTATCTCGATTTTAACATTTCTGTCCCCAGCATCTCTGATATCAGTGTTTATCTCGACTTTAACATTTCTGTCCCAATCATCTCTGATGTTAGTGTTTATCTCGATTTTAACATTTCTGTCCCCAGCATCTCTGATATCAGTGTTTATTTCGACTTTAACATTTCTGTCACCAGTATCTCTGATATCAGTATTTATCTCGACTTAAACATTTCTGTCCCAGCATCTCTGATGTTAGTTTTTATGTCGATTTTAACATTTCTGTCCCGAGTATCTCTGATGTTAGTTTACCAGTGAGTAGTCAACCTAACACCAGTTAGTAGTCAACCTTACACCAGTGAGTAGTCAACCTTACACCAGTGAGTAGTCTAAATTACACCAGTGATTAGTCAAAATTACACCAGTGATTAGTCAAAATTACACCAGTGACTAGTCAACCTTACACGAGTGAGTAGTCAAAATTACACCAGTGATTAGTCAAAATTACACCAGTGATTAGTCAAAATTACACCAGTGAGTGGTCAATCTTACACCAGTGAGCAGTCAATCTAACACCAGTGATTAGTCAACCTTACACCAGTGAGTAGTCAAAATTACACCAGTGATTAGTCAAAATTACACCAGTTAGTAGTCAATCTAACACCAGTGAGCAGTCAATCTTACACCAGTGAGCAGTCAATCTTACACCAGTGAGTAGTCAACCTTACACCAGTGATTAGTCAAAATTACACCAGTGAGTAGTCAATCTTACACCAGTGAGTAGTCAACCTTACACCAGTGAGTAGTCAAAAGTACACCAGTGAGTAGTCAACCTTATACCAGTGAGTAGTCAAAATTACACCAGTGAGTAGTCAAAATTACACCAGTGAGTAGTCAATCTTACACCAGTGAGTAGTCAACCTTACACCAGTGATTAGTCAAAATTACACCGGTGAGTAGTATACTTACACCAGTGAGTAGTCAATCTTACACCAGTGAGTAGCTAATCTTACACCAGTGAGTAGTCAAAAGTACACCAGTAAGTAGTCAACCTTACACCAGTGAGTAGTCAACCTTACACCAGTGAGTAGTCAAAATTACACCAGTGAGTAGTCAAAATTACACCAGTGAGTAGTCAACCTTACACCAGTGAGTAGTCAACCTTACACCAGTAAGTAGTCAAAATTACACCAGTGAGCAGTCAAAATTACACCTGTGAGTAGTCAAAATCCTAAACGTTATTCTTCTGTCAAGTCTTCACGACTGAAAATGTATATACAAAATATCACCAATACGAATTTGCATGATGCCGCTGCTATCACCGGCTTGGATGGAATGGCATGTTCAACGTGGAAATATGGCAACGTCAAGTCGCACAACAATTGGGTTGCAGTGCGACTAGAACTTTTGTTGGATCGTCTGAACAAAAGTCCGTCCTAATGTGAAGCGGATACCCCGTGTAACGACCGGAGGACCGACCGACTGTTATATCTACAAAAACGCTCCTTTCCTGCGAGCGAGACAGCGAGGACATTGCCTGGTCTTTGTGTATTTGCCCAAACTATCCCAAACCGCTTCAAAGTAGACCGGTTAGAAGCACTGCGCCCTCACAGAGTCCATCACCATCACAGTCGCTCTTATCGGGCCCGTAAACACCGTCGTTTGGTGATCCGTCCGTCAAACCTTGTTCTGTTTACGGATGAATACAGATTCTGCTCGTCATACGGTGATAGGAGGCCGATAGCCTGGAGACGTCAGAGTGAACGCATTGCAAACTGACGCGTCGTTAAACGTGACCGATAGGTGGCAGTGATGATGGTCTGGGGAGGTATCCGTGATGGTACATATGTGACCGTGCCAGAACTGACGTAGTGCCTGTGAACTTGACTAGGGTGAGTTATGGAGGCAACATTCTCAGGCTTGTGGTACGCCCGTTTTCACAACATCATGGCGCAGGTGTTATGCGGTGTTTTTTTTAATTCGCACAATCCTATTTTAGCGCAAAAATCTTTAAAGTTAGGTACGTTTACAGTAGATTACCACTAACATAAGTACGTTTACAGTAGATAACCACTAACATAGGTACGTTTACAGTA